TGTCTTTATTTCTGGAGCCAAAAAGGGTCTTTACACCTGTAATTCAGTTAAGAATCTTGAGATGAGGAGATCATCCTGATTTATTCAGGTGGGTCCTAAATTCTATGACAACTGTCCTTATAGAAAGGGTAGAAGGAGATCTGAGAGACAGAAGAGGAAAAGACAAATACACACACAAAAGGCTGTGTAAACACGGAGACAGAGATTGCGGTGATGTGGTCGTTAAGCCAAGAATGCCAAGGAATGCTGACAGCCACCAGAAGTTGGAAGAAGTAAGCTAGATTCCCCTCTAGAGCCTTCTAGGGGAATATGTAGCACTGCCAACACCCTGATTTTGGACTCTGGCTCCCAGAACTGTGAGGCAATAAATTTCTGTTGTTTTAAGCTACCCATTTTGTGGTAATTTGTTACTACCTCAGGAAACTAATACAACCTCAAAAACATTAAGCTAAGAAAATAAGGCTAGAAACCAAAGGCTACACATTATAGGATTCCATTTATATATGATTTCATTGATATGAATTTTTCAGAAAAGGCAAATCTATAGTCAGAAATCAGATCAGTGGTTGCCAGGGACTGAGATGGGAGAAAGAATTGACTAAACAGCCATAAGGAAACATTTTGGCATGATGGAAGGTTCTAAAATCGAATTTTGTGGTGATGGATGCAGAACTATATAAATTCATTGAAAACATTAAATTGTACATTTACACTGGATATTTTATGGTATGTATGTTATACCTCAATAAAACTATTAAAAAATTAAAAACTGAAATATAAAAAATTAGAAATAAATTGGATAAGGAAAGCAAAGAACATATACAAAGAAAACTGGTAAATAATTTTTTCCCTCTATGGGTGTGGGAGGCATTCTTAACTAAGATGGAAAATCTTAAGGTGTATTTCTATATAAAGACATATATTTATGTATAAAATTTTAAAACTTGTATGGCCAAAGATGCCATAAGTAAGATCAACTGAGAAAATAATATATTTAAAGAAAAATTTCAGCAGATGACAAACCATGAATATTTCTAGTAATACAAGGTAATCTTAGGTATTAATGAAATGCAAAAATAATCCTGTAGAAAAATTAGCAAAGAATATGAAGAGCAAAGACAAATAATCAATAAATATAGATTTAAAAAGCATAAACTGAAGCATGATGAGAGAATGCAAATTAAAGCCCTGATAAAGTATTTCTTTCTACTCCATCAAAGTCGGAAAATTACAAAGCAATAATACCTACTGTTGGTGGGAATAAGATTGAGGAAGAAAAATAATCTCATATATTTCTTGTGGAAATACTGTGAACTGTTATCTCATTTGAAAAGTAATTTGGTAATATGTATTAATACAGATAAAACTTTTTATCCACTCTTAGATATTAATTTCATTGATAAAAAGGACCAGCCATATGATATATGCACAAGTATGCTTATTTTATAGCATTGAGTATAGAGGTGGCAAATTGGGGGTGAGAAAGTAAATGCACCTCGAAGGAGGAATTGGTTCAATAAGTCACACTATATCCACAACCATGGAATGTTTTCCAGCCATTGAGAGAGTTAGAGACAGCAAATTAAGAGCAATACTAGTTGATTTGGAAATTCTACCAGGTATTACTGCCTGAGAGAAGCAAGTTGAAGAGGGGGGAAGGGGGTGGGAAAAATTGGTGAAAGGGGTCAAAAGGTCAAACTTCCAGTTATAAAACAAGTCATAGGGACGTAATCTACAGCATGGCCACTATAGTTAATACTGTATTGCATATTTCAAAGTTGCTAAAAGAGTAGATCTTAAAAGTTCTCATCACAAGAAAAAAATTTTGTAACTATGTACTGTGACATGTTAACTAGACTTGTTTTGGTGATCATTGCACAATATATATAAATATCTCATCATTATGTTGTACACCTAAAACTAATTCAACGTTACATGTCAATTTTACCTCAAAAAAAAAAAGAAAGAAAAACAAGTTGTAGAGAAGTATGTAAATTTTTAAGAAGTTATGTATTTATACATATATGTGTATAAACATGTATGTGTGTGTCTACAGCACCTTTCCACTATAAAAGTACCGTTTACCATTGTAATTAATAAGTAATATGTAGGATGCGTCTTTGAAGCCAAATGAATGTCTTGTTTTCCAACTACCTTTAATCCAGTGGATTTTGCATCTTTGCCTAATTCAGTTGTTACATTGAGTGGTTGCAAATGAATCTTTTTTTATTATTTGATATAAACTTTGTTGAAGTACACTGAATCATTTAAAAAACCCTGTTTTACTACTGAAGCCCGCGTGCCTAGAGCCCATGCTCCGCAACAAGAGAAGCCACAGCAACGAGTAGCCCGCGCTCGCCGCAACTAGAGAAAGCCTGTGCACAGCAACGAAGACCCAACGCAGCCAAAAATAAAAATAAATAAAATAAAATAAAAACCCTGTTTTTGTTCCATAGCAAGTTTTGAAGGCCGAATGATCTACATAATGGCTTCCTTTCTCTTTAACTTGGCCTGGGTAGACCTAAAATAAATAGGCTTACATCATGCTTGCTCATTGTCTCCATGACCAAACTGAATACAGCTGACATTTTCTGTTTTCTCTTAGACTGACACTTCCAGAAAAAAATATTACAACATATTAGCCAATGAGACAAGTAAATTACACTTTTGATGTTGGCATCGGCATCAGCAGCATTGATTAGTAAAACTTAACAGAATAAAATTTTATTAATCTAATCTCTATTTTTCTGCACTTGACAGTTGCTTTTTGAAGTTTCTGCCAAGGCTGGTTCAGTGATGTTAGCCACAACTAGTATTTTTATGAGTACAACATTCAAAATCTCTCTCTATAAAATAAATTAGAAAATTTCACAATATTGCATTTTTTTATTGTCTGGTTTTTGATGTTAAATACTTAGATTATTTGAAAATAAACTAGACTCTTTGGAGTACAAGTGACTAGTACAACATACATTTATCTCAGTTCAAATTGCATCAACCAAAATCATTTTTCAAGAGAATCACCATGTACACAAAAGAGCTTTAAAGTTTGTTCAAATGATACGGTTTATGCTTTATTGCTGTATTAAAGATTTAACTGAACCAGTTTGCAGGGCAGAAATAGAGACACAGATGTAGAGAACAAATGTATGGACACTAAGGAGGGAAAGCAGTGGGGTGGTGGTGGTGGTGGGATGAACTGGGAGATTGGGATTGACATGTACACACTGATGTGTATAAAATAGATAACTAATAAGAACTTGCTGTATAAAAAAATAAATTAAAAAAAAAGATTTAACTGAAAAGAATCAAGCAAGGAAACTTTTTGCTTGGAATGAGGAGAATAAGTCCTAAATCCCATACTGTTGTATTTCAAAGAGTTACTTTTCTAAGTAAAATGGAAACTTTTAGCACAATGTAGACTCCTCAGTATTTTACCAATGAAAACATAGAATTAAAAAGTAAACTCTTTTTTTAACTTATTTTTTATTGAAGTATATTTGATTTACAATGTTGTATTAATTACTGTTGTAGAGCAAAGTGATTCAGTTATACATATATATGTTTTTTTTAAAATATTCTTTTCCATTATGGTTTATCATAGAATATTGAACATAGTTCTCTGTGCCATGCAGTAGGACCTTGCTGCTAAAAAGTAAACTTTTAATTAGAAAGTTTCATACAATTTAATCTATTTAGAAGCATTAAGAGATCTCATTGAGGGATTGGGTGAATAAATATTTGAACATTCTACAAACAATAAATGCTGGAGAGGTTGTGGAGAAAAGGGAACCTTCTTGCACTGTTGGTGGGAATGTAAATTGATACAGCCTCTATGGAAAACAGTATGGAGGTTCCTCAAAAAACTACAAATAGGGCTTCCCTGGTGGCGCAGTGGTTGAGAGTCCGCCTGTCGATGCAGGGGACATGGGTTCGTGCCCCAGTCCGGGAAGATGCCACGGAGCGGCTGGGCCTGTGAGCCATGGCCGCTGAGCCTGCGCGTCCGGAGCCTGTGCTCTGCAACAGGAGAGGCCACAACAGCGAGAGGCCCGCATACCACACACAAAAAAACTACAAATAGAACTACCATACGACCCAGCAATCCCACTACTGGGCATATACCTGAGAAAACCATAATTCAAAAAGAGTCATGTACCACAATGTTCATTACAGCCCTATTTACAATAGCCAGGATATGGAAGCAACCTAAGTGTCCAGCAACAGATGAATGGATAAAGAAGATGTGGTACATATATACAATGGAATATCACTCAGCCATAAAAAGAAACAAAATTGAGTTATTTGTAGTGAGGTGGATGGACCTAGAGACCGTCATACAGAGTGAAGTAAGTCAGAAAGAGAGAAACAAGAAAAGGTTCTGAAGAACCTAGGGGCAGGACAGGAATAAAGACACAGACAGATAATGGACTTGAGGACAAAAGGAGAGTGAAGGGTAAGCTGGGACGAAGTGAGAGAGTGGCATGGACATATATACACTACCAAATGTAAAATAGATAGCTAGTGGGAAGCAGCCACATAGCACAGGGAGATCAGCTTAGTGCTCTGTGACCACCTAGAGGGGTGAGATAGGGAGGGTGGGAGGGAGACGCAAGAGGGAAGAGATATGTGGATATATGTATATGTATAGCTGATTCACTTCGTTATAAAGCAGAAACTAACACACCATTGTAAAGCAGTTATACTCCAATAAAGATGGTAAAAAAACCCGCGAACATTCTGAAAAAATGTTTTGATTTTTCTCAACTTTGAACTGAAGGTGATTTTAGGTTCACAGAGTTAAATAAAGCAAATGTTTCATATGCCAGGATGTTGTAGTAGATAAAATGAAGAACTTAACTTTGGAAGTTTGAATTCTGGTCCCACCTTAGTCCATGGCTTGCACGATTGTAAAAAGGGGTAGTTGAATTAAGAGGAAAAATTATAATCTCCTTTTATGCTTAAAATTCTATACCATTAGATCAGTAATGGTGTGTACTCACCAAAAATGGCAGCATGTAATTCATCATTCATAAGATATGCATTCAGCACATACCATGTGCCAGGCACTGCTCTAGGCACTGGGAATACAGTTCACCGACCTTCTCAAATACAGAGGTACAGATATATCCTGTTAATATAATAGGTATTTAATAAATCTTAACTTATAAGACATATAATACTCATTCAATAAATTATACTCTTGTTCCCACCATTCCACTGAAACTACAATCAATGACCTCTATGCTGCAAAAACTAATCATCAATTCCGTTTTCATCAGTTAGATCTGTCTGTAGCATTTGACCCAGTTGATCATCCCCTCCTCCTTGAAGCATTTTTCCCTCTTGGTTACCAGGACACCATTCCATGGTCCTGCTATCACAATGGTTGCTTCTTTTCAATTTTCTTCGCTGTTTCTTTCCATCCCTCCTGATCTGTAAATATTGGAGAGCTCCAAAATCCATCCTACTACCTCTTTTATTCTCTATTTTCACTTACTCCCCAGGTGATTTTTATTTTAGCTACCCTGACAACTCCCAAATTCATAGCCTCAGCTTCACTTCTTCCCTGAACTCCAGAATGACATATTAAGTACCTATTTGACAACTGTACTTGGATTAAAATTCAAATGCCGTTATCCCCTTGCTCACTCTGAGATTTACATGAGGAGATTTATTGGGGAGTATATATGGGACCGATATCTGTGATGGCTGAGGTTGAAGGAAGCAACACTGAAAAGTGGAAGATGCTGAACTGTTGATGCAGTTACAACAGAGGCCTCAGCTGATCTTATAGTGAGCTCTGGAGCTGAACTCTCACAACTGTTCCAGTTGAGGCAAGAGAGATCTGTACCACTGCATGAAGTCATTATCAGATGCAGGCTGCCCCCAGAGAGGAGGGTAACCTTGGGCAAGGTAGCTTCCTCCTACCAAGAGCAGTTCCTAGGGAGGACTCAGCTGTGAACCCTCAAGCATCCAACGTTCATGGCAGCTGAGGGAATGAGTGTCTCTTGCTGAAGGGAGATCTGGGTGGCACAGCACAGCTTCTACTATAACCACCCAGTATCTGGTAGCATCTCATTCGCATCACTTTCCATCCTTTATGCAGTTTAATTTTTTTCCTCAGGGTATATACTATGTGTTTTACTTATTTGTTTGCTGGTTATTCCCTACTAGAATATAACACCATAAGAGCAGAAACTTTTTCTTCTTTAATCCTATATCCCCAACATCTAGAAACAGTGCCTGGAACACAGTAGGTGCTCAATAAAAATTAGTCAATGAGTAAATAAATGTATCACACATTTACTCTATGCTAGAAACTATGCTATGTTCCAGGAACACAGAAGGAAGAAGACAGACGCTATCCTTATGGAACTGACAATCTCATAAAAATGATATACATATATAGCACACATGGATAAAATATGCATATATAAACAATATTTTTAAAAGTGCAGTTATAGCCAAATGCTGTTATCTAGTATTTTACTAATCTATCTAGATTCAGCACATCTGGTGATCTGTCATACAAAATTCTTTACTAAATGACAACGTCAGAGACTAAAAAACAGTGGAAATTTTAGTTAAAGAGTTATTTATTGTTCCTGCTAATTTTTGGAAAGGAAAGTTAGATCTCTGGGATACATATCTTCTGCCCAGTCTGGGAGGAAAGAATGAAGGACAAAGTAAGAGAGAGACTAACTCAGAGAAAATGAATATGTACTTACTCAACTGGATTTTTATCGACCAGCATCCTGTTTTCTGAAATGATGGAAAGCAAGGCTATAACTGTATCTAAATAGATAAGGGGAAAAATGCGTGTAATGAATGGATAATTCATAGTCACTTTATACATACAAATATAATTTTTCCATTACTTTAGTTTCAGCGACAGTTAAAATGTAAAAAGGACTAGGAAATAACACTCCAGCTTTTATGTCATTGTGGAATCACAGATTCATCTTTTAAAAAGCAGCCTATCTCCCTAAAAGCTATGTTTTCTGCTTTCTATAGAATATTTTATTTCCATTCACAACGAACCACATAACTTTGCCTTATAGAGCTTCAGCAAGATGAATCCTGTTTCCCCCTCTACTTGTTTTATTTGAAACATGAAAGTCTTTCACCCTGCGCTGTCTGTGCGGTAGTGAACATGACAACCTATATTTCAATTCTTGGGCTGTCATAAACAAGATACTTGGCATTTCTAGAATAACTTGCATGAGAAATCTCAAATTGCTCTATAGTTATGAACTTGCCAGCCTCTTTGCTTCCCTGCACATTATTGTTACAATGCGTGAAATGTAATCTGGGGGTGAGTAGGTTTATGCACCCATCTTCTATGTGTCACTTCATCCTACAGCAATGTAAGCCTTGAGAAGATTGTAGCCCATATAAATTTCTACCTTAAGAGTGAAAAAAAAAACCCCAAACAAAAAAAATTTTAATGCTCATGGGGTAATAAAACCAATGGGTCCTACTATTCTTCACTCAGACAGTTTGATGTGGTCCTCTATTAAAATAAATTTTAGGTTTCTGAAGAATATCTTAACTGTAAATTTTACATGGATTTACTGAGATGTCACCTCTATTCTTGGATATGTTTTATAAAAGAATAGGTGATTACTAGTCTTGTATTAGAGTATGCCGATGCAGTCTAATTATATCATTGCTTTGATGACTAATAGTTAGATGACAAGGTCCTTACAGGGGGTCTTTCAGAGCACAATAAATATTAGAACTCCACAAATTATCCTTGTTGACAATTAATTAATCATCCTCTTATAATTGGAGGTGATCCTGAGTACCTCTAAGCACAAAAGGGCTGCTGCATCCCCTCAGTTCTAGAGTCAACAATATTTGATAAGATCAACTGTGGACGGTTACAGAATTTTATAAAAAGAAGTGACAGGAGGTGATCTCTTACTCTGAACTCAAATGTACTGATATATCAGGTATCACAGAAGCAGCTCTAATGTGCCTAATGCCTCACATACCATTGCACCCGTGCCTGCCTCACTCTATTTATACTTCTGTCTCTCTTCTGTTCATCTCTCACTAACACATTCTTAATCTGCTTTCTTTGAGCCTTCCTGCTTTTTCCCTTGTTTTGTGTATTTTTCTTCTTTTCCTGGTCCCAGGTATTTCATGTGAACTGACCAGAAAGTGTATTTCAAGTGTATATTTTATGGTTTCTAATATTTTCCCTACAGAAAATTTATTTTCCTATTGACTGTTTAAAAACAGGAGAGTAAAATTTTTTTAATTTCCTTAATTTAAAACCTTTTCAATTATGTGTAGATCTTGACTTTTATGAGTTGTAGTTTAAGTTGGAAAAAAAAGATTACTTACTTCAGGTTTGGTCAGTGTTCTAAGACTAGATCCCTGCCCATAGTACATGTCCAATAAATGATTTTTGGATGAATGTTCAATATACAAATACTAAATTGTTACTATGGTATTATTTTTTTTAACATCTTTATTGAAGTGTAATTGCTTTACTATGGTGTGTTAGATTCTGCTGTATAACAAAGTGAATAGCTATATATATATATATATATACATATATCCCCATATCCCCTCCCTCTCCCTTCTCCCTCCCACCCCTCCCCAGGTGGTATTTAATAGGTAGTCTTGCAGCATGCAGCATCCCCCAGACACAGGTAGACATTTATTAAAACCTAAATCTCCAGAGGGTGTTGTTTATCTGTTTTTGCTCACCTGCATATCAAAATCTCGACAGTAATGGCCAGGTAAAGTTCACCTGGATGAGATTTCTATGAGTAACCATACCTAGAGGGGTTCTTTAATCAGAAATCTATGAACACTCAAAAGTGCTGAGAACTGCATGTGCATTATCTTACATGCTTCTGTTCAGTGAACTCCAAAACAACGCTTCTTAAACTGTAATGTGCATATTATTCACCTGTTTGCAGATTCCGGTTCAGCATGTCTGAGGCAGAGCTTGAGATGCGATGTTTCCAACAAGCTCCCGGATGATGCTGCTATGGTTGGTCCATGGATCACACTTCGATTAGCAAGGGTCTAAAGGTAATGCGAGTTCATAACAAAAGTTTTGCTGTCACCCTTCAGTTCATTCTCACTAAGGAATTGTTGATAAGCCTTAGCTAGTGGGGGTCTGGCCTGTATTCTCTCCTGTCATCTGATCTGTCCTGGGGGTGTCTGTGTTTGCTGCAGAACTTTGTTACTGATGACATAGAGTCCTTAGTATTGACTTAACCCTGGGAACAGCTGCTGGTTCCTAACTGTAACTCCAAGTCCAGTAGGAAGATGAATTATTCATCTTTTGGGAGCCTCCCTAGGTCCCTACACATCCATAGATTTATTTTTCTTTGGTTGTTCATTGACCCAGTACAATACCTCCCCCGCTTCTCTAAAGAGTTGACACCAAGAACAACTTGAAAATCTTGATAGTCTGTTGACTTCAGTTTGAGAAAGATTATTTCCTTCAAGATAAGGTGGGAGAATATAATATATAAATGAAGAATGAGGGAGCAAAGTAAAAATAAGGATAAATGCTAAGAAGTGGAATTATCTTCCTCTCTGGTCCTCCTCTTCTTCCTTCCTTCCTTTTTGCATTCTACTATGGAGAGGAAGATAATTTTGTAGGCACTTAGAGCCTCAACTCCCTCCATGCTAGCACATTTATTAATCTTTGAGATCTTTCTCACATTTTATTAAGAAGCATTTTTTCTAGAGATCCACAATAGTCCATGGTCAGGTTATTTGAAGTCTAGAATATACAATATTGCTCATTTTGCCATTTAGATAATATGCTTTGGGGTGACTGAGTGCACTGGGAATTTGATCTAAAGGCAAGTGAATGGGGTATTTGCATTTAATGCTTCTTTTTTTTTTAATTTCAGGGGAAAAGAATCAGGTAATTACTGTAATTACTGCACTGATGGTTCAGTGGGGGCAAAAATGAAATCCATTACAAATTGAAAAATGTAAAAAAAAAAAGCTTTAACAAATTTCTCTATAAACTATTTCCTGTAGCTCTCTAGTCTATTCCCTGAGCAGGTAGGATGGGGCATAAACTTGTCAGTTAAAGAGATTTTAATACCTTTTGGTTTCAAACTGACTACTTGGCTCCTTGGCCAGGCACCCATAGGCAGCAAACAAGCTGTACAGCCACTTAGAGTGGCCCGTGAGGCAGAACCTAGGACCCAAGTGCCTGAATGCTTCCTTTTCTTCTCCTTCCCTTATCTTCTCACCTCCTCCCCCAAAGAGCTGCTACTTCCCCTTTCTCTTTAAGTAGACACAAACTTCCTTTATGTCATATCCTGAGTTACCATTCCCATGACTCATGTTAGAACTCTATGGACTGAGTCTGCTGTGTCTGACCATCAAGTGTGGTCTTGCCCTGAACTAAATTACTCCCCAGACGGAGCAACTTAAGACAACAAATGTTTAGAATCTCACATGGTTTCTGAGGGTCAGGAATCCAGAAGTGGCTTAGCTGGGTGGGTTGCCTTCCAGCTCTTGCCCAGGACTACAGTCTCTGAAAACCTGACTGGAACTAGAGGATGTGTGTCCAAGCTCAGTCATGTGGCTCCCGGAAGGAGGCTTCAGTTCCTCACAAGAGGGCCTTTCCACAGGGCTGCTCACAACAGGGCTTCCCCCAGAGTGAGTGATCGAGAAAGAGTGACCAAGATAGGAGCTGCAGTCTTCTATAAGCTAATCCCAGGAGTGACTCACTTCTGCCATATTCTGTCCACCACACAGACCGAGCCTGGTACAACGTTGGGAGTGCGGGGACAGGACAAGTGTGTGCGTGCCAGGAGACAGGGATCAATGGGGGCTTGGTTTGGAGGCTGGCCACCACGTTTTCTGCCAGTGTTCCTCAACGGGAGTAGCACTGCCATATGTAACAGTTCTTGGTTGGGTGGGACGGTCCCAGGCATGGCTGGACCTTTAACATCCCTGACCTTCACCCAGTAAATGCCAGCAGCACTTCATAATCAGTCATAATCAAAAGTGCCCCCCTCAGTATTTTCAACATGGCTTGTATTCATGCCCGGTTGACAGCCTATCTCGTATGTGAGTCAGGAGGACCTACACTTTGGGAGTTAATTAGAGTAAAAATATATCAGTATATTATTTTCAAAAAATAATGGGCACTGCCCCCACTTCCTGGAAAGCTGGCTCACTCCTGAACTTTGTGCTCCCCCTGCAGCCTTCTCAAGTTGTCTTTCCATCAGGAATTTCAGGCAAAACTCTTCCACTCACAGCTGTCTACCTTCTTCGTGCTCAGGGCTGGGGGCACTGCTGGAGAAGATCACCCAACCCTTGGGAGGGGTGTACTCCCGATTCACTCCCACAGCACCTGGGCCATCAACACTGCCCCAGGACTCCTGCTTCCCTGGTCAGCTTTGTTCCTTCAGTCTCCACGGCATCTTTATAAGCCTTTTCCTCCATTTACCTGAAACCTTCCACTCCACCCCTTCATACTTCTACCTCACCCAGACCTCAGATAACCTTGCCTGCTACTTCCCAAAAACATGTAAGCCACAGACAAGAATGCCCACACCTTCCTGCCACCCCTCCGTCCACGCCACCTGTCTCTATACCTGTGCATACCTTCCCCTAAGACTAACCTCTCTACCTGTACCTAGGTTCTCATCACCTCGGACCTCCTCAGGCACTTCCCTCCAACAATTACCCTGTCTCTATATTTCAACATTGACATTTTCATTAAATCCTTCCCATCTAAAGACTTCTCAAGTCTCTTTCACCTTAAAAAAAAAAAAAATCCTCCCTCCAACTCTCCTTTCCCTCCCCCCACCCATTTTCCTCTTATCCCTCTCTTCCCCCTCACAGCACAAGTTCTTGAAATAACTCTTCACATTTGCTGCAGCTTCCTTACCTCCCTTCCTTCTCAACTGACTATAGTCTGCTTCTGCCCACAACTCTCCTCTGAACCTGCTCTCACTCAAGTCACAAAGAGTCTCCTTTTTGCTAAATTTCATGAACATTCTCATTTCTTATCTGACTTGACCTCTCAGCATTTGACACCGTCCATCTCTCCCTTCTCTGTTGGAATGTCCTCTTCCTTTGCCTTCTATTCAACCACATTCTCCTAGTTTCCCTCCTATACCTGTGGCTGCCCCTTCTCAGTCCCCTTTTGGACACTGTTTCCCTTGTCCTTCTTGTAACTCAGTGTCCTCAAGTCTCTGACCTTGGTTCCCTTCCCTTCCATTACATACTCTACCTAGGTGATTCCATCCATTCTCATAGCTACAATGAATATTTACATGCTAATGATCCTTGAAACCATGCCAGTGGTCCAGAAGCCTCTCTTGAGCCTCAGATGTATATTTCACAAGGTCTTCTAGGTGTTTACACCTGGATGCCCCACAGGCATCTCCACTCAGTCAGGCCACAGTTGAATTTTTCTCTTCACTTCTCCTCTCAAACCTGCTCCTTCTCCTGGGCATTGTCCTTGACTCCTCCTTCGCCCTGACCCCTACATCCAATCATGATCTGAGCCAGATCCTCAACATTCTACCTTCCCCAAACATTTCTCAGCTCTGTGCCTTTCCACTTGCAGTGTCACTAGCTGAGTTTTGGTGTCCTTTTCTCTTTGGATTACCACGGTCTCTTGGTTTCCAGTCTTCACATTGAACCCACAGTGATCTTTCTGAATCTATAATCATACCCCTTCCCTCAACCCTGTTTAACATTCTTTACTGACTCCCTCTGGTCTGCAGGATATGACCACCACTCCCTGCAATGTATCCTTCAACTACACTGAACTATTTGTAGTTTCATAAGGTTGCTTGCTGTGTCTTGCCTCTGGACTTTTGCACATGCTTTTCTCTGTTCTTTCCCTCTTGTGGGTTTACTCCTATTCATCACTTTTTCCATGATGCTGTCTATGGTCTTCTTGTAACAGAGTTAGATGTTCTTCCCTTCTTCTATCATGTTACTTTGTGTTTGCCTCTATCACAGCACCAATCATGCTTTAATTGTTCATCCTTAGACTTTAGGGAAAAGACCCTTTCTTCTTTGTGGTTTTAACCCTAGAGTCTAGATAGGGCATGGTGCATATTAGAAGCTCAATAATTAACTATTAAATAAAGGAGTAAATCACTCTATTAATGTGTATGACATGAATGGCTTATGATGGACACGTAAATATTGATTGAATCTGAACTTTGAGGGAGGGGAATATTAGAGAGATAAGAGATGAATTTAAAGGGGATAAAGAATCAAAGAGATAATCCTCCTGGTATCATGTGTTGGGGCCAGAAAGCCAGATGTTCCTTCTTTTAAAATTTATTTTTATTTGGCTGCATCGGGTCTTCGTTACGGCATGTGGGATCTTTGTTGCGGCACTCGTTGCAGCATGCAGGCTTCTCTCTAGTTATGGCATGTGGGTTTTCTCTTCTTTAGTTGTGGTGCGCAGCCTTAGTTGCTCTGCGGCATGTGGGATCTTCGTTCCCCGACCAGGGACTGAATCCACGTCCCCTGCATTGGAAGGTGGATTCTTTACCACTGAACCACCAGGGAAGTCCCCAGACGTTCCTTCATCCTCACCCTTTATCTCCTTTGGCAAGAGGAAATCATTTGCCACTTAGAGAAGCCACTGTTGACCTTGGTATTGCCATTTCAAAGATGGTATTAAAAACAAAGGCTGTGCCAGGATGGGAAGAATAATTGTTTTTCTTTCTTTTCACAGTTCAGGTGCAAAAGAAGTAAGGACTCAAATAGAGGAGAAAATACTCTAAAAATGCAGCGGTTTTCTGGGCTGAAGTTTAAGAAATATTTACTGTTTAGTATTTTTACTGTTTATTTAGGTGGATATCTTGAAACAAACAGGCTTAGTCTTTATCCTGCAAGTTCAAAAAAAGGCAAATCAATATATTTTCTAATGGCAATGTCCCACCTGCCTTATTTATTGAAGAAAAGAGTGTACGGTTACTAGCAACACCCACACATAAGTAAATGAAACACTATTATGCAAGAATCTGAGGAACACCAACTAAAGAGCAGCCTGGTATTAAAAAATAAATAGAAATGACTCCTTCTCTTCGTTGTAGCCACATGTACTTTCCCTTGCACCTCAGATCTCCAACAGATTTAATTTCTCTCTGGTTTGTCTTCAGAGCTGAGGAGGAGAAATCCTGGATTTGGCAGGCACTGAACTTGGAATCCACACTGACTCAAGCAGTGCTGTTGCTTCAGATCATTCTTGAGGCCAGTAACACTTCCAGCCCCAGGGAAACCTCTGTTCCAAAATTTTCCCTCATTCCACAAGGGAATTCTTTTTGCAAAAGGCTTTGGCTGTTCTTAAAGCTTTCTCTCACTTTGTCTTCTAAAAAGTTTTGTGGGATTGGAACATTGCAGGTTTTTCCCCTCCCTCTTCACCCAGATGTTTCTGGTTCTCAGGATGTACACCTGTGAAGCTGGGTCACTTGGGACAAATGTTTGAGTTTTATTTACAGCAGAGAAGAATGTGATCTTCACATACAAATGTTCAAAATGGTCATTTTGTTCTCAGGGACCAACTGCAAGACCTGCTAGGGTAGAATCTGTAGGGATATTAAAAAAACCCATAAAGGTCAAATTATCTAATCATTAAATAATTTTTGAGTGCCTACTCTGGTTCCCCAGCACTATTCTATTTAGGTGCTGGGAATACAGAAGTAGGGGGGAAAAAAAAGAAGAAGAAGAAGAAGTAGAAGAAAGAGATAAATCTCTAATTGGGGAAGGAGATAAATGAAGATGGATAATATTAAAAAGAAAACAGTAAACAAGTAAATATAAAATTTGTCAAATGAAATTGTCCTGAATTTTGAAAGATAAATTTGTACACTGAGGTGCCTGCTTTTTGCCATGAAGGTGATCTTTCTTCAACGAAGGATGATATATGTGAGGTGTCTAGTATAATATCTGACTCCTAAGTAGGTGATCAATAATATTAGTTCTTGTTCTCTTCCTAACATGAGCTACCAATCCAGCAAAAGTGTTTTTGTACACGTGTAAAGTGTTGTAAGACTCACTTTTAGCAAAATGCATCACTACACTTCAATCTAGAGGGACTAGATGCAGCCATGATGGAATAATTCATATCATCAAAAGCTACTGTTAGTCACTCAATTCATTCTAAATCGCTTTCATAATAAATATTATCAAGAAGCTACTAGTTATCAAGCA